AATCATCGTCTTTCTCCGTCTCATTCGTGCCGTCGATATCTTTGTCCCAAAAGGTTTCCTTCACTTCAGACCTGTAGTACTCCTCATAGCAATCGTTATTACAAATACCTTTGATACTGCACTCCGAGTGTCTGGCGATTTGCTGGTCAAAGGCCTTAGTGTTGTGACAGACGTCAGTGCTGTTGACGATTTCTTTGCAAAACTTTCGGGACTGCATCCAATTGGCGTCCGTTGTGTTGGGCAGCCATTTGGTCATACGCTCGCCTTCGCTGTGTTTGTAGACACAGCCGCATCTCCGCAACAATTTCCGGGACAAACACTTGTCAATGCATTCATAATTGGATTTATACCATCGCCAACGCTTCTGATCCTGATAGATGCGACAGTCGGTATTGTAGGGCCAGCCCAACAACCTTTGGTTAGTCTGCGAGACCAACAAATCAAAGTTTGTGCCTGGTTTTATGGTAGCCCTGTCCAGCGATATAATATAGCTGAGAGCCTTTGGGTGGTAGGCTATAGCGTACATTTGGGGAACGTACGGATCCCCGTCCTCAGAAGGCGGCACATCATCTATAGTCATGTCATCGAAGATATCGTAGCGAAACCGAAACGATGCCATCACTCCCTTCTCCACGTCCAACCGGTAATAGTCGGGACGCTCTCTGTTCCAGTGATAATCAGCCGGATTTATCTGCGAGAAGTATGTCCAGCAAACGCCGGCCCCAAACGGTAGGTTCCAATAGGGCTGCGAATAGTTCTCACACGACGGCAGAGTTATGTTGTTTTTCTTGAGATACATTGGCGTCGCTATCATTCTGCAGTCAAATAGCATGTGTGGCTCAACCATCAGATTAAACCACTCGTCGACCGTCGAGTTGTCAGACGCCAGTTGTTTGTAACGTCTGTAGACTTTGAGCGTCTCATTCTTGTCGCTAATATTTCTCTCAATTAACCCATTGATCTCATCCTTTATCTGTGGATACCTCAGCTCTAACTTACTCTTGAGAACTGAGTGCCACTGATCCGTACAAATCGTGATCCCGGGCTCGTCGATGTCGAAAGGCTTACTGATGTCCACTTTGACCACCGTTTCAAACTCGAGATACGTGGCCAGCAGTCGTCGTGTCTGGAAAGCCAGGGCACTGATACTGAAGATCATGACGAAGTGCTGGAATTTAACCTCTTTCCACACGTAATGACTGAATTCATGGATCAATTTTTTCTTCAATTCCGGCGACAGCTCCCAAAACGTCGGAATCTTGTGCTCAAACTTAGAGCTTTGTTGTTGTGCTTTCATTTTACACAAGAATTCACTTTTCT